CTTTCGAAGAGTCCTTTAGAATTGATTACTTTTATACATAATAGACAACGCTATTTTTTCACTTCAAAATAGATTTGAACAATTCGAAACATATGAAAATATTTTTGGATTTTTATTTGGCAGTAAAAACTAAGATCACTAGATGTTGAAAATTTGAAAAAATATTGTCTTAATCTCGAATGTTCCTTAAAGCATAATAATCAATTCGATAGTGATGGTTTGAATTTATTTTCTGAATTAAAAGTATTAAGAAAATAGTACAATTAAAAGATAACAGTTTAATTGATATATTTAATCAAATAAAAAGATTTAGTTCTTTCCCAACTGCCTAAATTGCTTATGGTATGTTCATAACTCATGTTACCGTTGCTTCAGCGGAAAAAAGTTTTCAAAAATTAAAATTAATAAAATTTTACCTAAGAACAACAACGTCACAAGAAAGGTTAAATAGATTAGTTATATTGTCAGAAATACTTATTAGGAGTTATTGATTATAAGAAAATTATTAATAACTTTGTATCTAAGAAAGCTAGAAAAAACAGGCTTTAAATAAATAATAAAAAAATAAAAAAAGTTAAAGTCCCTCGTAATGTTTGGCTTTAAGCCACAAATTCGTCGGTCCGCCGTGGGTTCAATCCAACTAGCTAACTAGTGGCCAAATTACTTGAACCACACACACAAGAAATTGACAAGCAACGTTATCCTATCTCCTGGTCCCACTACCACCGTGGCATATCATCTGACCTGGCAGCACTTTTCTTTTAATTTGACTTATCTTTCTTGAGTTGCTTGCTCACCAATCATATTCATATCCAATCATACACAATTTTTTTAAAATTCTAGAACCACCCTCAGATAATTTCGCAAAGACAATTGTACCCTCATTCCTAATCAATAAAAAATCAATTTCACCATCTTCACCTGTACCTTAAAACAGACAATAATTGCCCTTTCTAAATTCAGAACTTAAAGCTGTGTTTTATATAGACTCAGCTTCAGATTTGGTAGTTGAATACTTGAAGGAAACTATCACAAACGTTCAAGAAAACTGTCTATTCCTATTTCTATTTCTATTTCTTTTTCTCTCTAATTTTTTTTCTTCAAATTGAAAAGAAAAAAGACCCCTTTTCCTTATCAAACAGGAAAAAAGAAAAAGGAAGAAAAGACTCCTTTTAGAATTACATGTAAATTCAGGCTTAGCAGGTATACATATTGGCCTAAGTATTTCAATGTTTATGAGGAATTCCTTCTTTTTTTTTTCTGCAACTGAAACTTTTGATCGACTTATGAAGTTTGATAGAGAAGGAATATTTAAGGTTCTTTATCAGATAGAGATAGCCATATTGGAACTCTCAAAAGAGTTGCTTTTTTCTTTTTCTAAAAGATATTATTTTGTTTATTTCTGAAGAGTTTTAGCTAATTGCAAAGCTATGATTTTTTTCTCTTTGAGACGCAGTACTGGGTTTCTGATTAAAGTCGCTTTCTTTTTGGTTGGATTTATTAGTATCCAAAGTTTGAATCTTTTAAAGGTTTTTGTTTGTTTATTTATGACGAGTTTTAGCACAGCTAATTGCAAAGCTTATGATCTTTACTGGGATTCTTGTTTATTATTTTTTTGTGTTTTTTTTCCTTGTACTTCCTTTATATTTGGTGGCTTTTGTTTGACTGGCTAAATTGGAATTTTAATTCTTATTTTTGTGAAACACCACTTTGTACAATTCCTGAAATAGAACTAAATTTCAATTAAAAAAAATTGAGCTAATTAATAGGGTCAAAATATCTGGTTCTAAATTGCTATAAGGACCTATTCTAGGGGGTATATTATAATTTCTTATGAACCTTTGCTATTAGCTGATTGTGACTGATTTATTGCTATGGGAAAGTAGAAAAGGAAAGGAGGAAAAAGGGAAGAGCTTTAATTTTCTTAGAATGTTTTTAGAAATTAAAAAAATGGTGATATATACCATCTTCTATCACAAAGATGGCAACATTATGAGTCATAATGAATGGACTAAAATGTCACTTTATCTGTGTTCCATGTCTTTATTATTGTTCTTGCTGTATTGAAAATTGATGAACTTAAAAAGAAAGATCAATTTGTTGCTGGTCATTCAATTGTATAACATGCTGTGTTAATACTGTTTGTATCATTTTCATTGTATTCATCTTCTAACTACCTGAATTTCTTTGGAACAGGAACAAATAACACATTTAGTACCTTCAATTGTCATAATCTTGATTCATTGTATCTGCCAACAGTTTTGTTCAAAAACTCAACAGTCCCAGAATTTGATTTCTATTTTGGGTTCAAGAAATTTCTTGATTTAGTAAGATATGGCCTTCGCATTTACCCCTTTGTCATGGTGGCTTTGGAGTGGAAAGCATCAAGAACCAAAAATCTCGAAAGGGACTTGTTTAAATTCATCACCTGATTCAGGGTTGTTGGAATTGGATACTTTAAAGTTCCCTCGGAATATTGCCTCCTCATCTGGAAGGGTTAAGAGAAAATGGCAGAGTCGAGAGGAGCGCAAGATCGATAGGGAGTATGATATTGTTCTTGTGCCATCGGACGGTGGATGTGTATCAGGGTCCGAGTCCGATGATTCAGATTGGTCCATTGGATGGTTGGAGCCACATGGCCCGGAGTTCCACAGTGATGAAAATAGAGATGATAGTTTTGCTGTGCTTGTTCCTTGCTATGGACGTGGACGCGCAAACATGGAAGATAATGCACAAGACAAGTTTCTGCAGGGCATTGGTAACTTCAAGGATATACATGCTTCTGGTAAGAGTCAGTTTCCGGAGATATTCTGTTTTTATTTGGAAATACAACTTCTGCTTTTGTTAGTTTCTCTTTGGTGCAACAGAACCAATTATATATTTTTTTGTTTCAGATAGTTAAATTTATATTCGTCTCAGACAGATACCGCGTATTTAAAGTATATGAAACTCCTGACATAAAGAATTCTCTCCACTTGATAATATGCTGCTAGCTGCTAATGGCTTACTAAGTAATTCTATGAGAAACATATACATTGATGTAGAAGCTAGTGGCTGCTTGGCAAAAACCAGATAAAACATGGACTTTTACTTTTTGAAGGTTCTGTCAACTTCCCGTCGCTACAACCAAAATTTTGAACCGAGAGTCAACATTTTGTTTCATGCTTAGAAATTGATGAATTGAGCTTTCCTGCTTTTTGCTCCATTTCCACTTTGTTAATGTGCTGAAAGTATAACTAGCAGATCTAGTGCAAGCTCCAAATGTTAAGATTGCTGAAAGCTTCCTTTCATGTAATGTGGTGACTGAATGAGGTTGCTTTGGTTGGCCTTCTTTATATTATTGAATGTTTTTTTTTCATTTCCTATAGATCCTGTAATCTAGAGAAATTAGAATGAGTTCAAGATTCTTTTCTCCCCTTGTCGTTTTCAGAGGGAAGGGCAAGGATTGGTGGTAGGGTTGATGATGATTATTAACGAGTAATCTTAACTCATTAATGCAGCACACCTCCAGAATGAATTTCTCATTGATAACCTGTTATACATTAGTGCGATTCATATCTAGCACCGTATCTTATGTGCTACACTACTCCGATCTTTGCCCCTTTTTATTTCCGTTTTGAAATTAAAAGTTAGATTTTTTCCTGTGTCCTACACGGCTTGATCAGTTGAGAAGTATTTAGTACCATATTCAGTTAGTAGAGTCTATGTGATCGTTAACAAGCCAGTTATAGGATAGCAGGGGTTCTGTTTACTGGTTGAGATGTACATATCTTTACTTTCTTGGCATCGGAAGACTTCACATTTTTGTGCAACTCTGTTCATTAGCCATTACAGGACTGCCAATTTGAAATCTTTATTCTTCTTAGATGTAACCATTTTTTCTGGTCGAGCATTACGATTTCCACTCTTTTGTTTCCTTCCAATTCTTGACATGTTTCACTTTTTGAATGATGCATTGATTTAGACATGGGATAAACCAAAAACAAATGTCTAAAGAATTAAATAGTGGTATAGTTGCTGGCTCAGTTCTTAATTTTGTGTTCTGCATACTTTATGCTTATTGATTTCATTTTTTACATGCAGAGAATAAGAAGTATACAGAGCAGTGGCTCTCATCTTTGCGGTACAGCTGACATACTGCAATAGCTGAGTTGATTCGATTTCTTTGCTGCTGCCCCTCCAGATTGATCAAATTTTAGCTGTTTTTTGTTACCTATTACAAGCTTAAATATCGACTTAGGAGTGAAATGAAAATAAACCTGTAAAAAGGGATCGTCTAGGAACTCGTTAGGTACTTCAATGATCATAGCGTACTTTGTATCTCTGATTTTTTCAGAATTAGTTCAGAAGAAGTAATCTCTACTTGCCTCCTCCGATTGGTGTAAATTTGTGATTTGAAACTGGCTGGAAGGAGAAGAGAAGAATGATGGTTAAAGAAAGACAATTATGCTTGTAATATTCTTTGATGTAAATATATCTGTGAATAGGTTCATCCAGTTGTCAATATCTCTGTCTGTCTTTGAAAATAATTGGATACTTGTGATGTTATTAGCAAGTATGATGTCATTGTGAATATCAATGCAGTTTCATCCAGTTGTAAATTATTTCCGACTGAAATAAATGGGAAGTTCAAATGTTGTTAGTAAGAATAATGCCTCTGCTTATTAATGGAAAGTTCAAATGTTATTAGTAAGAAAATATGGCTGGGAAATGTTGTTCTTTACTCGTTCATTTTTTTCAAGACTATAAGAAGAGAACAAATATCTCAATAAAAGAAGCTTAGTTGAGCTAACTTTACTTTTTACCTTCTTAATTCAAAAAGGAAAACAACAAAGACAAGTGCAGCAAAATAAGATAAATAAGTTAGTGTGGTTGTCTAAACAGTTCAACTACGTTGCACGTATGACTAAATCTGACCAATTTCGCAAGTAAAAAAAGAAAATTAGTTTTTGCCATAGTCTCTTTAATATAAGATTGCACAATTTGCGAAAGAGATATCATGATAACGAAATAATAATGCATGGAGATAGTCAATAATTAACTCAAGGAACTGTAATTTGTTACCCAAGTATAGACAACACCTAGGAGAAACCTACACATTTACATTAAAGAAGCAGGAAGAAAGCCAAAATACCAAAAGGTAGATAAGAATAATTAACATGAATCTAACTTTACATGCATAGTTGGTCCAACCCAGTCACTCCATTTCATTCTCTCCTATTCTCAGTTCTAGTTGGTGCCTTACTAGGCTTACTTGTATCATTTATTAACTTTTCTTGAACCTGAATGCCTGGAACAGAATCTTGATCCTCTTGTCTATGCTCATTCACTTCATCACCGAATGATAAAGTATGATCTTCAACTTTTTCTATCAAAGGGTTGCTTGATGCAAGAAGTTTATCTTGTTGGACTTGTGGTGGTAGTGCTTTATCACCAGAAGCACCTACAACTCCTACTTGTTTCTCACTTTGTGCACTAGACAGAGCGGTAGTTTGACTTTTTTGAAGAAGCTTTTGCTTAGTATTTTCGTCAAGCTCAGCAACTGGAGCACATATTGAGGCATTAGGTGCAGCTGAAGCATTTGGTCTAGATGAAGTACCAGCTGGGCTAAGTTGAAATGCCGGTGATACACGTTTCAAAGAGTGGCCAAGCACCTGCTGAGTTCCAGGCCGTGAGGCATTTGATGGGCTTGTGGAATGGGACACCAGGCCGGTACGAATAAAGTGCACATTACTGGGCAAGCCATTTGTACTAACTGGGATATGAGATTTTACTGATGGACCTCCTCCAGGTATTTGGACGGTAGATTTGGACTCTACTGTCTTGAGCAATGAGGCACCATTTGAAGGGGTAGCAACGCGAGCACCTGCAGCCACAGCAGCAACTTTGACCATTGAATCTGGGCTCGTATTAGGTTTTGGCAATGGCTTTTTTGGAACTATCCGAGATTTTGACGACAACGGATCTTGCTGATGCTGGGATTGTGCACCACCAGATGCAAAGTCAGCAACAACAGAATGTGAAGAGTTACTAGGTCTAGCGCCTGAATTTTGACCCACTGAAACAACACAATAACCTGGGTTAAAACTGTTGTATGCAAGAATGGCATTAACGTCTGATATACAAGGTTAAGAAGTAAAGAGTTCCCATGTTTTCTCCACCCATTCAAATAACCCAGCCATGCTGAAAAGAGAAATTGCTCCTAATCCACTAGAATTTTTGCTTTTCCTAGATCAATGTGCAATATCTTTTATATGTATTTTGCATGCAGACAATATTAATTGGAATATAGGACTCAGACCTTCTAAAGACTCTTGAACAACTGAAACTTCTTAACTAATGAACATTGAGCAGTTCCAGGAAAAAAGAAAACATTGAACAATTGAATAATTAATTAACCCTTTGCAGACAAACTGCAGATACTGTAAACGACAACATACATTCCGATTATCAGAGGATACTCTCAGCCATCTGACACACCCAATGCAGAGTTCTAGACAGTATCAATAACTATCCTCCCCCTAACCCTCAACCTTTTCCTTTTCCCATCAGGAGTGTGGTAACAGATACATTTACATCATAGAGGAGTTGAGAGAATTACCGCTAACGCTGATTGGCATATCAAGAGCCAGTGACATTGCGCGACGAGTTGCCAGCTGAGCCTCTGAAAGCTGCGAGCCATTCCCGACAATGGTTCCCTGTCGTTTTCTAATAATGGCCCACCTCTGCACAAAAAAAATTCATAATCTCATAGTAAATTTAAAATGCAAAATGACAGTTGATAACAGTCCACAAAATATTTACAACTTCTCTTATTTACTTTTTTCACATCTAGTTCACGCTAGCTACACCAATACACACTTCTGAATCTCATTCCGTTGCCGGGATTCGAACCCGGGAAACCTGGGAATAACCCAGACATCCTAACCATACTAGATAACAACGGACATCCATGGTCTATTTCCAACTATATGTTTGACATAGATATCACTAGGAGGATTCTCTTTAGGACAACCAAGATGCTAGGTTGAAGTTACAGAAACAATATTTATTTTAAATGAAGACAAAAACAATACTTAGATGTAACTTCACCACTAATTAAGTTTAATCCATCTACCATTTACATCAATGTCACCTAAATTGTCAATAAATGATTGCATACCAAAACTTGTTAACACTTTGGAAGGATGGAGCTTGCAACCTAAAGGTCTCACCAGTTTTGTCAATGGTGAAAAACTGCCAAAAGCGCCAAATTCCATTAACGCTTAAAGCGTAAAAGCAATTAAAGCACACATTTTAGATAATAACACAGCGGATGATGAAAAGTTGATACGTGTGTACATCTATGCGCGTGCACGTGTATAATGCAAGAAAAAATAATTATACACACAAGAAAACAATTATATAGATAAAAGAATTGGAAAAACCTACAACTAAGTGAAATTATGTAAAATGAGTCATGTCAATTAGGAAGCGAAACCACATTAAATTTTTTATTCTGATGCAAAGATGTAGTTTTAGCTTTTACTTCAGATTTCATGACTAGCTTTCTTATACTAAAGTTATAATTTCCTGTTCCTAATAACAACATTCTCTTTTAGTGGGTTCTTTTAACAATTAATATAAAATTCTACTTGCTACATTATCGTTTAGTGTTGTCCTCTTGAAAACAGGGGCATGAGAATTAATATAAATTTATCAAAAGGAAAGTCAATTACTTGGTTAGTTCTTGTTGAGACGCATGATTTGGTGCAAGCACTACCTAAATGTGGCGAAGAACGGAGGAGAAGTTATCTCTAAGGAATGTACAGTGCTACATCAGAACAAGTATAAAGTTTTCCATTTATATCCCAAAACTGAAAGAAATTTCTTGAAATTGGCTGATAACCTAATACCACATGGATGAGAGGATAATTGCTCCACTGCTTCTCAGGGTTTGCCGAGAAGCAGTGATCTTATATGATTGAATTATTATTTGGTCCCAAACTAGTAGCTGGCATTCAGTAAGAAGATTCATTAGATATTGAGGAGTTAAAGGGAGGAGATGTTATCCTCTAAGGAATGTAATAATCCTACATCAGAAGTATAAAGTTTTCAATTTATAACATAAAACTGACACAAAAATTTCTTAAAGTTGGCCCATAACCTCACACCACATAGATAGAGGTTAACTGCTCCATCACAATCAGGGTCTATCGATAAATAGTGATCCTAAATAACTGGACTGTTATTTTGTCAAGTACAGCATCCCCTCTTCCTTAAAATAGGTAATATCATTAGAAGCAAAGCACCTTGGGCATGCTACTTGTACTACTGACTGCATTGTGCAACTGCCAAAAGGACATGGCATCATACCATTTTTTAAATAATCAGAACCTAACGCTTGAATCAAGGAAGTCAGTCTGAGTGGAGGAACAATATATTCCAAACTGTTAAATTTTGGATATTGCAAGACATGAGTTGGTTGTTGCCTTATTCAAGATTGAGTAAACACACCAAACTGTTCAAGATTGAGGAAAAGCAGGCATACGAGACTTTTCTATGTTCCTTACTACCATCTTACCATTTGACACAGAGGGAGCTATTCTATTCAACTTTAATTTAATTTTATTTCTTTTTATTTCCTTCTCAGTTCTCCTATCATGTGTGAAGCACTAGAAACAGCTCTATTTTCTCAATCTGATAAGATCTTTATTCTGTCTCTCTATCAATGGGTTCAGAGTGAAGCAAACTCTAGTTATATAGCTGGGATGATTCATGAAAATATCCTGGATACAGGTGTCTTTTTTACTAACAGGCAAATCTACAACTAATCAATTAGCTGAGCTGGAGAACGATCTAATTTCTTGGTTTTTACTCTTTGGAGCAAATAGAAGGGGTAAAATTTTGGATGAGATCAATTTAGTGAGCTGTGAACCAAAGGACCCGATTAATTAACATTCTTTTAACTCCAAGTCAAGGATTAATCTAAGCAATAAAGATAGACTACTTTCTCTAACAATTTTTTTTTTTTTTGAGAAGGTAACATTTTCTGTATATTAATATAAAACACCAGTACAAAGATTGTGCTGATATCCAAAAATAGGTGTTACCATCAGGAAAAAACCTATGAAATGTATCCTCCTTGCTCTTCTTACAAGGAATTACACCAAAAGCAAAAACGAAGAATGCAATTCAACTATGATGTTATTATTTTTACCTATAAAAGTTAACAGAAAGAGAATTCCCAAATACGATGATAAATAGCACCATGTTTGTGCTAAACCTTATGGCGGACAAGGCTAAAAGCATTTACTAACTAGAGAGAGTAATTAAAACTAGAGAATATATTTAGATATATTAGTCAGTATTTTGATAAAGATAGATATACTAATCATATACAAAGGAAAACCTGAGAGAGTTGTGAAGCTGTTCTATCTCCCTTGAAGTCCCCTTTCAATATATTTGCCCAATTTCCTTCACCGCATTTTTGGACCGCAGCAATGAGTTCCAGGTCTTCTGTGTCTGTCCATGGTTTACGCTTTCGCCGAGGAGGCAAGTTGGTACAAGCTGGTCCATGGGTATCCAATCCCTCAGCAGCCGCCACAGTTGACAATGGTTGTTTTTGCACTGCAACTGGGACGGTAATATTTGTCCCGTAAATAGAAGCACCATGCAATGAATTATCCACACCAGTTCTAGAAGTTTGGCCATTTGGTATATTTATAGTCAATGGAGCCTCAACCGTTGAACCATTTAACATATTGGTATCATTTGGAACACCAGAAGCAATCAGTACCTGTCAAAGGCCAAGATTCCCCCAAACCACACAATTGGTTATCCAAAAACAAACTGAGTGTCAATGAAAGATGCAAGCTGTTCAGCCAAATAATTGTTCACAAATACAGTGTTTGCTAGAGGAAATTACTACTATGGGCAGATTGTTTGACTTACCTTCACACATGCTGCAGCTTCTGCTGAAGCTTCATTGCTTATAGTAGGGAAAGCTTCCAACTCATATTCTAAATCACTATCATCATCCTGTCATCAAAAAGTACAAAATTGAGAAAAAGTCATGAAAGTATAAATCACCAACATAAGGTTCAAGATATAAGGTGGATATTTCACTACCATACATCACTATCAATACATGCTCCCAAAATTACTGCCACTTAATAATTCAAACAAAGATCACAAAAGAAAAGAAAAGAAAAAACACTAAACTAGGGACCAAAAAGTTGTTTTCTGGGTGCCACTTATTAAGCACTCAGCATTCCGTAAAAAAAAAAAGATCCTGCCGGGCACAAGATAAATGAAGATGTCCACATATTTAAGCAACAAGCTTAACAATATATTCACAACGTGCACATTATTAAACCCCAACACCTAATAGGCCATATTTATTCTCAATCTGGAGAAAAGGAAAAACTTGAAAATTAATATCTGTACACTTTATTCTCAAATACAAATATGCAAACAGCATAATTTTTTTATCAAAATACAACACGTAGAAGCCAGGCGATTGAGATAGGAAAGGAAGGAAAGATAGAAAGCTGGAAATGCTCTATTCAGCCATTCTCACCATCCAAAGTTCAGCAACATACAAGATAAAGCGCAACTCCACATTGTAGACTGAAAAACTAGCAACATCTGAGGAACACATCTCCACTGTAACACACATGACATTTCCCAAATTTATCAATATTGACTTAAATTATGCATAACTTTGACGCCCTTAGCAGTAATGTGGGTACTTTGGAGAGAAAGGAACAAAAGAGCTTAACGGGGAAACACTACTTCCTACAGCTTAGGGCCTTTTCGTTTTTGCTTAAATTTGGAGCATCCACTACTCTTGTCGGTATAGGATTATAGATGATTGGGCGTCTTTTGTAAAGAACCATATATTTCATGTAGGTACTCTACTTTTGGTATACTTCTTATATAGGGAGTTTTCTCCTACTATCTCAATAAAATATTACTTTCACTAAGAAAAAATTAGCATACAAAACTACAACTACGGCTCAATCTCAAACTAGCTGATTCAACTATGTATATCACTTATATCCAGTCTGCTTTCTTTGGACTGTTTCTTCCAAATGAAGAACCCCCTCCACCCCCCACCCCACCCCAACCAAAACAAACCCACTCCGACTGTACACACAGGGTGGAGCTAGGGCGCGCAAGGTGGTTCAATTGAATCGCCTTCATTGGAAAATTATGATAAGCAATCCCCTTAGCGTAGGGAAAGATTATAGTGCAATGGCAAAAGGTTTTTATTTGCGGGTTCAAATCCCAGGTGTCACATTCTTGTATTTTTTTGAACCCCCTTGACAGAACTCCTAGCTCTACCGCTTCCCCCAAAAGTACACACACACACACACACACACACACACACACACACACACATATATATATATATATATATATATATATATATATATATATATGCGCGCACAGAAAGACCTAACAACTTGCCGATGATTGACATACCAAAGGTTGAGCAGCATCATCTAATTTATCAAGCAAATCATGTCGATAAGCCAAATGGCGCCATAGCATTTGATACTCTCTTGCATTAGTAATCCCAGTTGTAGACTTCTTCACCAATGCATTCCAGTCGATTTTATCATCTGCTGCAACTTGTGCTGCCACCTCACCCAACACTCCCAGCAATGTTGTTGCATTATACCTTCAATATTAATCACCAAACAAAAATATCCAAAATTTCAATACCGGAAAGCAAAAAGAAAATTCTAAAAATAAGTGTGAAGAACCAAAAAAGAGACCTTTGTAAGAGAGTGGATATATCTTCTTCAGTCACAAAACACGTTTGTTTCTTCGATTTCTCGAACATTCTCAATCCCTTGATATTCTCTATTTAAAATCAAATTCGATTGAAGAGGGAGAAAGGTGAGTAAGAGACGAGAAAAACCCTAGCTAGAACGAATACGACGACGTCGTTTTCTGACTGACCGTTGAGAGCGAAGCAACGCGTTACTCGTAACGGAGAGAGAGAGCCGTGTCACAGTGTGTTTTCAGAGTTCGAGGAATGCGTAAATGCTAAAAAAATGGCCTAATAATGTATCCTTTTTACATTTGCCTTTATATCTCTTTCAATAAATTTCATTATTTGGTAAAAAGCGCAGTAATTTGCAAAATTTTATTTTGTGTCTCACACAATTAATATTAATTGTGTAAGATTTATACTAGTTGTGTGAGGTTTTATTTTATCTCGCAATCAAGTGGACCTACGATTTTGTAATATAGACCCAAATATATAAAAATTGGGTTCACTTTATTATGAGATAAGACAAAATCTCACATAACTAATATCAATTGTGTAAGTCACACTCGGAATTTGCTAAGTGATACTCTGGTAATGTGGTGTAGTTTAATTGTGCGTCAATTTTAGAAGGAAAGCAAAATTACTAGAACTTGTAATTTAAGCATGTTATGATATTTTTGTCACTATAAAAATATATTATTAATTATAAAATAAAAAGCTGAGTTAAATTATTTTGAATATGAAAAGTTGACATTCTTCTTGAATCTGGCTAGTAAAAATAGTTAGAGTATCACATAAAATAGAGTAAAAGAAGTAGTAACTATTTGGGTATTAAAACATCAGCATTTTCGATCCAAATAATCCAGTACAATGAAGATTAATTTCAATATAGATGCAAAAAAATAAATTATGTGGTTAATAAACAAGATGGTTAATAACTTTTATATAGATGATAATTTTGATGCTAGAGGCGGACCTAGATATAACCTTGAGGGGTCACATGACCCGTAAACTTCAGTAAATATCTTTTATATGTATATTGATAATTGTGGATTTTGATCACTTATTAACACTTTTTTGCTTCTGTTTTAATCCGAAGTATTGATTTATGTTCCCAAACTAATAAAAGTATGCAAATGACCAAGACTTGAAGCCTTGCCTGAAGTGGGGACCGCACAAGAATTGTGCGTCCTCAGAAGCTGACTTGTAGTCGCAGATCAAATTGTGCGGCTGCAGAATCCAAATCTCTGCAAGACCAAGCAATGTGCGGACTGCACAAGAAATTGTGCGGCTGCAGAACCTTTCGAGGGGCATTTTTGTCAGCGAATTTTAGGCCACCATAAATAGACGGGAATCACATTTTTATGTCAAGTTTTGAAGGTCAAGCAGTTGTTGCCGTTGTAATTTCCATTTTAGGAAATTTGTGTTCATTTTGGGATTTAAACATCATAGTTTACCATTTTAATCTTGCATTATGAGTTTAATTAGTATTTCTTCTTTGTTTTCTTCATTTTCTACTATGAGTAGTTAGACTTTTACTTGGGTTGTGACTCAACCCTAGTGTGTAAATCTTATGAGTATTTAATATAATGCTTGTTTATGATTGAGTGTTGATTATTTAGCCTTATTTATGCTTAAATTTTAGAATTAATAGTATATGATTGAGTGTTGATCACTGTTTCATGCTTTTTTGACTTGGTATTTACTTTAGAAAGAGGAATGTAGTCTAGGAAAACTTGGCAGGAATTGGGATACTTAAGGATTTGATTAGCATAATTAAAGGTTTAAACTAGAGATAGGAAAAACCCAACTAGAGCTCATATCAACTATTTAGCTTGATACCCATTGGGCTTGAGAGAGCCAAATTGGGCAAAGTCACTCTATGACCGAGAGGTATTGAGTGGGTAACTTAAAGTTGTGAGCTATCATATACCCCGATCAATAAAACAAGTGTTAACGTACTTAACCGATTAGGCAAACACCTAGGTAAAGGTCACATCCCTATATTTTTTAACCATTTGGTAAAACAACAAAAATAATCATTTGCTTTCTAGTTTCTTCTCATTAGTTTATAATTATTAGTGATAAATTAGAAGTAGAAAACAAAAACCATTTGTTTGGAAGCGCAATTTTATTATTTTATTTGCTCTATATATCTAACACCCATATTAAACTCCTGTGTAAATTGATCCCGACTCTTGTTGGGTACTATTCATCCAACGACCGTTTTCACTCACTATTGCATGCGAATTGAACGTGGATCATATACACGTATACCTTGAAAATGGTTAATTTAAATCAAACTGGCACCCGGATACTAAAATCCATAGGGGCATTGTTTGATGTAGTTAGTTCATCTCTATGTTTGGCCAACTCCTATAGCAAAATCCTCATTTTGTCCTGCGCTTAAAATTTTTAAATGACAAAGAGAGCCTTCTAAAATACATCCATTTACAGTTATATTTTCATTTTGGTTATTCGAATACTCTTAGACTTGTAGGAAATGACACCAAAAAATAACGATAATAATAATACTGTAATAAAATTATTTGTGAGCGGAAATACCCCAACTGGCTTGAGTCGTGCTAGGCACTATCCTAAGAAACTATTTCAGCAATGTGAAATATTTTCCCACATAAATCAGCAAAATCAAATAATAAATCCAGCAATTTGGAAGAGAAAGAGCAACTAATATCTTATGCCAATTAAAGTATTATAGAAGAAGAAATTAGAAGGAGAGGGACGTATAGGAGGGAAAGAAGAAAGAAGAATTTCTTCTTTGCTAATGATTAGCTTTTCTTGGTGTTTGATGATTGAAGAATGATGGCCTAATCATGGCTATTTATAAACCTAAGGAAAGCTTCTTACATTGCCAAATGTTTGATTGCACGAAAGAGGATTGCCATTTGTTTATGGCTTAGCCATTTGGCTACATATCTTCATGCAAAGTGCCACATGGTGTGGTATTCATAGCCACTTGGCTTAGTAGAGCCATTTGTCACACAATCTTCTAAACCAATACCACATGTAAAAAATCTTTTGATAAATTACAACAATCTCCCACATCAAAAGACTTTTTTTTTGTTTAGGAATACGGAGTAGGAAAGAGTAAGACTTGCTGGATTTGCATGGTCCAAATGTAATAGGTTTGGTGTCTTCTGGACTATGAACCAAACTTAGACCAATAAAATTTAACTCACAAAATTACTGGTGAAATATAATATTTCTATGAACCAACAATTCTTATTGTAAGTCAGAGATTTTATCAATCACATTTTGACCCCCGATAATTTTGCTGTTCAACGCGGTTGTGCGCCCAATAGGCCATGCGCGTGCCTGGTTATTCATGAGAGCTCTAGAGACTAGGCCAAAATCTCATAGGAGCGGCCCACTCCACTCTCATATATGTGAATTCATCAAAGTGTATACTGCTTATAAATACACCATCCATGAGGACTATGAATTTCATTAAGAGTTATAACTCAGCCTCTCAATTAGTAGCAGTCAAACACTCTCTTTTAGTGCATCAGTGCCAATATTGACTTGTTATTACCCATATGAACCTACTTCATGGGATCTCCAATCACATAGGTTGGGTTACCATCTCTATTGACAACATGTTGGCCTTAACCCCATCTCTTTTGAGGTTTGAAGAATTAATTTTCTTCCCATAGGTTTAGCCAGAGGATCGGCCAAATTTATCTCTGACTTCACATAATTAATGAAAATTATTCCATCCCTTAGCAGCTGCTTTATGACATCACGTCTCAATTTCATGTGTTGACTTTTACAATTATAAGATTTATTCTTTGCTATAGCTATTGCTGCTTGGCAATCACGATGTATAGACACAGGAGGCAATACGTCCTTTATTAAAGGGATATTAGCTAAGAAATTTCTTAGCCACTCAACCTCAGAACCAGCTAATTCCAGAGCTACAAACTCTGATTCCATAGTCGATCTAGCAATGATCGTCTGTTTAGCTGATTTTCACGATATTGCACCACCACCAAGGGTGAATACATAACCACTAGTGGATTCTGTCTCATCTGAATCAGAGATCCAGTTTGCATCACTGTACCCTTCTAAAATAGAAGGAAATCCACTATATAGGATACCATAATTCATGGTTCCTCTCAAATATTTTATTCTATCTAATGCAGACCAATGCTCCATGTTGGGATTATGAGTATATCTACTAAGTCTACACATAGCATAGGCTATATCAGGCCTTGTAAAATTCATTAAATGCATCAGACTCCTAATAATCTGAGCATATTTAGACTGAGCAACTGGCTCACCATTATTCTTTTTCAACTGAGAGTTAGCATCAAAAGGAGTGCTCACAGATGTGACAATAAAATATTCAAACTTCTTAAGAAGTCTCTCAACATAATGTTCTTGTGACAACATTATTCCACCTTCACTCCTTATAACTTTAACTCCCAGTATTGTATTTACTTCACCCAGATCTTTCATATCAAAATTAGCTGACAGAAATAATTTTGTACTTTGCACAATATTAATTTGTACCAAATATAAGCATGTCATCAACATATAGACATATTATCACATAATCATTGTCTACAACTTTAGTCTAAACACATTTATCCACCTCAACTGAAGAAAAACCGTCTCTCAGTAAGACTTGTTCAAATTTCTCATACCACTGCTTAGGAGCTTGTTTAAGGCCATAAAGCGATTTAATTAATTTACAAACTTTATTTTCTTGTCCAGGAATGACACAGCCTTCAAGTTGAACCATATAAATCTCTTCTTCTAAATCACCATTTAGAAAAGCAGTTTTCACATCCATTTGGTGGATAAAAAGTTTACAGATTGAAGCTAAGGCAAATAAAACTCGAATAAAAGAAATTCTAGTCACCGGTGCAAATGTATCAAAATAATCTATATTTTGTTTTTGAGAAAATCCTTTTGCTACTAACCGAACTTTATATTTATCTAAAGATCCATCAGGATTAAATTTCTTTTTGAAAATCCATTTACAACCAATAGGTTTTGCACCAGGAGGTAAGTCAGTTAAAATTCATGTATTATTTTTCATAATGGAATCAATTTCAACTTTTATTGCCTCTTTCCAATATTTAGCATCTGAAGAAGATATAGCTTCAAAATAATTTGACGGTTCATTATTGACAAGAAAAGTTTGAAAATCATTTCCATAAGAAAAATATTCTTTCCTAGGCCTTTTGCTCCTTCTCAGTTCCTCATTAGAGGTAATTTTTTATTTATTTCAACAGGTGTATGAGAAATT